GTGTTTCATTTTTGTAAAGCACTTTTAATTGCCTTGTGTTGAAAGGTGCTTTATAAATAAACTTGCCTTGCCTTGCACCTGACAGTTATCAAAACTACTTCTTAAAGGTCTCCTATTATACTGTTTTTCATCAATATATCACAGGTCTCAGATATATATATAGGTCCCCTCTGTTTCAGCCCTGTTTCAAAAGTGCTGATTATCTTTCTGTTGCTTTAGATGAAAATAAGGAGCCCCTCCCCAGCCCCTCTGAGAGACATTTGGTTAAAAAGAACTCAATAGTGCTCTAGGAGGAGATTCAGGTGATAGGGGGGGGGGGGGTTACCGTTGGTTGGTGATTGGCTAATGGTTACACAAGCCAAAACATCGTTATGACATCATAAAGTGGCCAAAATCTGATCAGCTCATTTTCAGACAGGTTTTTATATAAATGGATCAGGACAAAAAGTGAGCCAATATATTTTCCTGAAACTTTCAGAATCTCTTTACACAGAGGGGACACATGTTTATGTATAAAAGACAGGAAAAAGTGGATTTTGCATAACAGGTGACCTTTAAAACATATGATGTACTTTGGAAAATTCTACTTCAAAATGTAAAACTGAAGTCTTGTGATCTGTCTTTCCTTCCATTCGTCAGCGTCTGTGTACCTGCAGGTGGCTCCGTGCCCTGGGATTATTTCACACAGGCCGTCGTTCAGGCAGTAGTCGGGCTGCAGAGAACAGACACTCTGACACGGCAGGCCGTCCACCATGGAGTATCCCGGGACGCACACACACTCTGCCTCTCCGGTCCAGCGGTTCACCATGCAGTGGGAGAAATCGTTGCAGGCCAGGAACCTACAGGGCTCTGCTTGGTCGGCTGAAACCAGCAGAGAAGAGGGGGGGGAAGGGGAGAGAGGTTTTGAAGAAATAAAGGGCAGAGAGAGGGAGAGGCTCATTAAAATTAACGCAGTTTGCAACTCAATGAATCCGAGAAATTAAAGAGCATTTTGATGGATGTGAATGATAGTGTCTGCAAACCCAATAATGCATTTAATAAGGTTACATAGAGTCATGAAATTGTCCATTTCTACTGAGCATCACCTACAGACTGCAGAGTGAGGAAGCGTGATGTGGACAGGAGCTCTGACCTTGTAGCATGAATAAACATGACGGACAGATCTTTTCTTTTCTCTGCCTGAGTTCTACATCCTGTAATCACACAGGACACAAACAGTGATTCTACTGAATAGGCGACAACGTTTCACCTGGTTCTATTTCCAAGGAGCGACTGTCAATCTTGATGTCGAGCCGCTTGGAAGCGGCGTTGCAGAAGTCTTCGAGCACGCAGTGAACAGCTTCTGTGACGTTGTAAGGTACCGGTTTGTCCAGCTTCATCTTGCTGTTCACCACAACGCTGCCGTTCCTGAAGTTCAGAACTTCCAGTTGCTTGAATCCAGTCAAATTGGATTGTAGATAAGGCAGAAGCTGCGTGTAAGAAAGAAGAAAGCAAATTATTATCTTATTTTATTTAATCTGTTTATTGAACTATTCCCTTTACTTTTTTCAGAGGATGTACTGTATTCCTCATTTGAAAAAAAGTATAGTCTTTGTGTAGTTAGTTATCAGTTACTTTGAAAGCAGCACTCAAGCAAGATTTCATGTTACAGGGTAAAAAGGCAATTATTCTCTTAAAATTAGGAGAACAAAGTTTCCCTCTTGGATATTTAGGTTATGAAATTATGTCAGATTAATATCAGTAAAGATCTGTTTCCCCCCCAGAGAAGTTATCAACCCGTTCAGCAGAGACCATATTTACCTGTGGTTTAACTCAGGACCGAGGTTGTCGAAGCACTGCTGATATTGAATTATTCAGGTCACATTTTTACAGAGTGAATGCTATGAATAGTTCATAATTAAATGTTGATGCAAGCATGAAATCCTGCCATTACTGCGCTGACTTTGTAATTAGATCTAGAACACAATTATATACAAACATAGAAGGTGCTATTTCTAGTAGAGGAAGAGCCCGAGAACACATGATGAAAAGATGAGACACTTAAAAAGACTTGTATGCATCGCAATTTCCAAATAAATCTATAATACATGATGTTTAGGGAAGGCTTTTATCTTAAGTGCCTTACAGTAACACATGCACAATATATTGTCAGGTTAAGTATCTCTGCATTATCCCACCTACACTGACTTACAAAGCTGAAGCAAAGACTTGATCTTAAATGACAAAGAAATGTGGAAGGTTGTGGGCAAAACAGTAAAAACAAAACTGCAGTGACACAGGTTAGATGGTGCTCATTTAGAAACACTTTACTTTCTCTTGCCCGTTTCCAATAAATCAACAAACATATTAGTATTTTAATATCTGTTATACCAAGTTAGCCTAGCTTTGCAGAATAGCAATAACATCCATTGATTTCAAATGAAATAATGACGAAGAAATACAGTTTTACAACTTATAAAACTGTTCTGATTAAATCAAGTTTATGCATCCACATTCTCACTAATCATTTAAGTTTTCCACACAGACCAAAAATATTCCAAGTCTCAAGACGTAGCTCAGATAACTGAGAAAACAAGCTCTAAAGGCTATGGACTCTGACTGATGACTGTGCTGATATTTAGGAGGGGAAGGAAGTCAACCAACTGAGGTAATGGACCCGCATCAATGTTCATCGAACTGAGCCGCTCTCCTTCCAGCCACTTCACGTTCACTACTGCCCAGGCCAACATCAAACAGCTGCAGAGTGAGAGCGGGAGATTACGCTGCTTTAGCTGGCCTGGCTCTGGAGCAGGAGATAAGAGGCCTTAAGGAGCTCTGCTCTGATCAGGTTACTTCACTTATCACAAGCAGACAGTTTACTGGGGGCTAGTTCTCTACAGCTAATAGTCTCCAAGAAAGCACACGAAGGGCCAACAGCCCAGACAAATGGACAACACCCTGCAGTGCAAACGGACACACAGCTTGCTGTTTGGCCATCCATTTGTCTCAATGCAAAATGTCAGCCACTTCACATCCAGTGCAAATTAGATACCAATCTGTAGCTCTGTGGCCTTCATCACAAGGTCAAAGCAAACACAACAAACCTCAGTGCAGTGTGTACGGTGGACTGAGGAACAACATTGCAGACAGCGTCACACCAACACTTCCATCATTTCACTCTCTGACACCATCACATCACATGCTTCTCTGAGGTTACACCACTGTATCTACTGGTTCTTGTTTTGAAAAAACCTAATGATACCTCCCTTCTCTCATGTTGAGAAAAAAAAAGAAAAGTCATAAAAAATATTAAGCTGCCATGAAAATGATTTACTGTGGCAAATAAAGTCATTCCAATCTCCATGTCCAATTGTATTGGTTGCTTCACAAACCAGTAGGTACAGGAGTAATGGAGGCCAAGGCAAACACTGGGAATTGCAAGCCACTGCAGGCTAATAGTCCATATATATGTATACACATATATGAGACAGTGGATGTACAGTGTCATAAATGGGGTGCAATATCCAGTAAAACATTCCATTATGTCCATTTAAATGGGCTGCAGAATATATCTATATATTATTTTACATCTCTTCTTTCACTTACTAGCTTTTCAGTGATGTATACACCATCTCAAACATGTTTCTTCTCTACCTGAATAGCCCATTTAAAAGGAAGTAATATTTACTATTCCTAACGGGAAGTGAGAATAGACAGTATACGGCAAATACTTACCAGCTCAAACGTCTGACCACATTAGTTTTGCCGGGACGCTTAACAAGTTGATTAATGAGGAAAGCTCAAGTAACCACAGTTTGGGCAACCATTAAGATTGGAGATGGAGTGTTGTTTTCATTATTGATTCAGATGTTTGCCTCTCATATGCATCTTTGTGTAATGTGCCTCTAAAAATATGTACTACCCATTGTATTCTCTTATACAGTGCAGACATTATTTTGTGACATGAAAACAAATAGGAAACTAGTGCTTTCTGTTCCAGGATACAAATACAAAACAAAAAAGGTTCATAACATTAATCTATAAAACCATTCCGTCTTGTATAGAACTCTAACTATTTAGTGAAAATTCTTGAGATGTTCTAAAAAATAAAACCCATTAGGAACCATTTTCCTTAAGTAGAAAACTATCATCACCACCCAGAATAAATCAGAACACTAACCCCACCTGTAGTAGCACACAGCTCCTCAGCCCCATGGCATCGCAGCAAACACACAATCCAATTTTTATCGAGGCACTTCGTCAGTCTGAGGCCAAGGTCTTATATAACAGACCGCTCTGCACAAGCCTAAAAATATGTCCCCTTATTTAACCTCGGGGTAAGCGTTGAAACTAAATAACGATGTCAAGTGATGCTTCATTCGCTGATGCACGCTAATAAGGTTCAGGATCCCCACCTACTTACCAGCTTCTAATGCAAATTTAAACTGTTATTCAGAGGGAAAAAAGAGCAATGTGGCCTATTTGCCAAAACAAACGGGAAGATTACAGTATTGATTCGCAATATGTGCATTCACACAAAAGCTCCAAAACAAAATGACCTCGACCATTTTATTGCATTGTCTTGTTGCCTATAGTATTACATACAAATACTATGTCAATAACACCAAATGACCAACATGCGTACAGATGTACCCTGACTGATGTCTCACTAAGCCGATTGGAACCATTAATAGCACAATGTGTGTGCTGCTGGAACCGACCAGAATTACTCAAAGCTTCTTACCACAAGTCACAATCCTCCTACAGTCCCACATGACTAAGGCAGAAGTCTCAAGATTCAGACTACTCCTGGCTAGCCCTTTACCATGTACAAAGCAACATTTTTGCATCATTAAATGCATCAAACTGCATGATTTTCCTTGTAAACCTATGATCACATTGCTCAGCTCCGCATTAATTAATTCACTTAACAAATGTATCTTTAAGGCTTCAAAACATGCACAGTGGTCCATGTGATAGACACACAAAAACAGCAATCAGATGTAAACTCTACACATGAACACAAACATAACAGCTGATATATAATGACAAGTGTGTGCTTCACACAGCAGAGAGCTTGTCTGTACAAACAAATGACATCAGTGGTATTACTTACAATGTTGTATGAGGAAATAGTTAAACATTTGTGGAAACAAAGTTATTTGCTTTGTTGCCAAGAGTTAGAGGAGAAGATTGATATCACTCTCACCATCACTCTGTGTCCACTAAATATGAACCTACAGACAGCAGACCGTTAGCTTAGCATAAAAACTTGAAACAGGGGGAAAAGCTAGCCTGACTATGTGCAAATGTAACAAAATCCACCTTGTGTAAAATTTGAATTTGTGATTCAACAGGGGTGTCACTGCCAACAGTATCAGAGACCATTGTGTTACTTTTTATAAAGAGTCATGCTAGCTATTTGCTTTATTTCCAGTGTTAATGCTAAGCTAACTGGCTGATGGCTCCAGGTACATATTGAATCAACAGATATGAAATTGGTATCAATTGTCTAATCTGTTGTAGTATTCATTAAGACTGTTAACGTATTTATCTCTTTAAAAAATCTTTGGATTTTTATAGCCCAGAACCTTTTACACTTCCCTTGCAGACACAAATCGTACAAAAAGACAAGCTAAAATACATCAAACAGAATCATAACATTCCCTGATAAAGACAAAACGTTAGCACAACAAAATTAAGGCAAACACACAAAAGCAAGCTTTGATAACAGACATGAGTAGCTGCAGCAGAAAGGTAAAACGTCTAATGTAAGGTCAAAAGGAAAACTGAAAACTAAAGTTAACTGTTTTCAGAAAGGTGAGGTGCTCTCAGATTGTTAGATACTGCATTTTGAAAAGGTTAGATAAGAAATAGAAAAGTCATGCTCTCTCTAAGGCATTGGAAATGTAGTTCCAATATGGAAGAAATACCGGTATGGAGGCTAAAATCTTCTGTCTCCTAGGGCCAGATTTACTGTGAGTTCCAGGGTTTGGCGAGTTTCTGGACCCAGAGTGCTGTGTCTGAGTGAAACAGAATTATTTCTTTATAATGTTACCACAATGGCTCCTCTGAAAAGAAATCCTCATAACAGTTTGATACAAAAAAATAATTTGTTGAAGAAAAAATATAAAACCATAAAATTACCTGTCCCTTTAATGATAAAAAAAGATTGCGCATAAGGCTCACTGCAAAGCGCATCCTTACCTTTGCAGGACAAACAGATTTAGAGTAAGCACCAATTTGGGGCTACGGTTAAAAATATATTTCTATCTCTTAAAAATAAACAAATACTTTTGTCACACATTTCAGATTGGGCTATGAAAGCAAATATGAAAACAAAGAATGCAAAATCATGATATCCAGCACAAAAGCGTGTGTACCTACCAGCTCAAGAAAGGTATGCTCCAGTGATTTATACTCTGGGGAGCTCTTGTTGAACAGGTCGTCAGAAAACATCATGTTAGTGACCCTCAAGCTAAAGAAAACCACTAACTCTTTGCCCGCGTCCACGGCGGCCATCAGAGGGGTGCTGCCTTGCCTCATGGCAGGTGATGCCGTGGATCCGTACGGGTGTTCGTCGGACTCTGAGGACAATCCACTGCCGCTCTCCTCTTCCAGAGAGTCGATCGTGTTCTCCTCCGTCCCGTTCTGACTCGACCCTACATCGTCTTGAATGTTGGAGTTCTCCGGAGGCAGGTCTCCACCAGACTCAGCCTGGTCCTCGCCACTCTCTGAAGGGGAAGGCAAATATTCCTCTTCTGTTTCTGGTTCAATGCCTTGGACGACATCCTCCTGAGATGATGGTGTTGACACTGGGACCGCAGTCTCTTCTGGTTGGAAGTCTGGAGGTGCTAAGGGAGGTTCTTCAGTAACTTCTGGTTCAGATTCTTGTAAAAATAAGACATCAGAAAACAAGTTTTAATAGAAGAATTAGTTGTTTTCTTTAAAAGGAACATAGAGATAGACCAGCTATTGTTGTAGTTATACAAAGGTTACATTACATTACATCTCACTGATTTGATGATTTGACTACAGGTTAAGGAGCTAGATTTGCTTCCAAAAGTAAGATAAAAAGATTGATACCACTCATGTTTCTGAACTAAGAATAGATCCAGGTGGCAACTAGCATAGCGTAGCGCTAAGACTGGAAGCAGAAGCTACCCTGCATGGTCATTACGCAACTGGCTGAATAAAACTAAAACTGCCAGTAAATATATATTTGTTTAAGTTTTTCATGTGAGGTTTCTCTTTCTTTCTTTTTTCAATATTTAAATGCAAAGCTTTTTTATGGCGGCACAAATCCATCAATTTGAAATGCAGTAGATGTCTAGTGCATCATTTCATACATTAAACTCAGCTTCACACGCCTGATACATATGGTTTCTTTAGATTTGCTACTAGAAAATGAAGTTCTGCAGGTTTGAACAAAGTTTGTCCGCACAGCATGAGTTTGTAATGACTCAAGCACAAGCAGGCGGCTGCTTGTTAATGGGCTTTAATATGATGTATTGCCTCAGCAGGGAGCATCTCCATGTGCAAAACTGAACCATCAAGTCTAATTGTGCTGCCGGTTCCATTTCCTTTGAGAGGCGAGTGTTCTGTGCAGATATGATGGGAAAGGAACAAAATGGATCACTCTTTATTTGGACAGTGCTGTGCTGACATTCAGAATCAAGTGACTTTAATATGTCACTAGAAAGTAGAAAATGTGGATTTCTTGTGACACTTGTAATAATTTAAAACTAAGTTGAACATTCAATACCCAGTTAAATTAACTGTTAGTGTTGGAGCTACATAAGAGCTTAAATAATGTGTGAACTTGGATAGGAAAGATACTTCTCATCACCCAATAAGTGTGGATCAATACTAGAAAAATTGAATGAAGCGTTGTTAAATAATGATAAAATAACATTAAGAATAGTTTAAGTTCCCTTAGTTAAACCAGTTTAGTTATTCATAACTTTATTATCTCTTTAATTTCCCATCAGCAGTCAATTACTTTCCAGATCCTTTCTATTTTCTTACTATTATCCAATCACCACTAAAATAAGATTGAAATGTACTTTCACTTCTTACTTTTACTGGCATGGGGATTTTCTCGATCAGCTGTTTCAGCCTCTTGTGTCTCTAGATAATACTGCAACCTCCCTCCCCTTTCCCACCATCAGCAGAATCAGGACTAAGGAACCAGAGCATGACAGCAAAGTGTGGTTCGATCCTGAGGTACTTCCTGTTTTCTGTCAATAGATCTAATTGTAGTCTAAGCCTCAATCTAAAGTTTGGCTACTCAATAAAGCTTTGAATTCTTTAATGTGTTGCTCCTGATTGAACTTCAAAAACAACACTTAGCGGCCGTAGAATAAGCCTTACCGTCCGTCACCTGCTCCTCAGGTTCAGCCTCACCGCTGTCAACGTGCTCGGTTGGTGGCTGCTCCTCCAGATCCTCCACTGCAGACTCTTCTGTGGATTCCTCCTCTACTGCGTTCATTAGAGGAGTGTCATCATCAGTGATGGCAGGAATGCTTTCTGGGAGGATGTTTGGGATGAAAGGCACGAAGGTGTGTGTTTCTGGTTTGACTGTAAAAGCTTCCAAGGCGTTTTCTATCACTGCCACAGTGGGAAAGAAACTTCGGGTGGGAGGTTTGTCCTCCGTAGGTGGCTTTGTGGTGTCGTCCTCAACTGGGTTCATGCCAAGCTCCGCAACTGGGTAGATTGTGGTTACTGAAAAGGATGAGTTGAAACACTTACAGTTTTAAAATCCTTTTCTGAGCAAGATAATAAATGTTTTATTCAATTAAATGTGATATCATGCTTACCACTCTCAAAGCTGAGTGTCTCTATGTCCACTGGTAGTGATGTCTCTTGCTTCAAGGCCTTTACGATGATTTGCTTCAGTTTAGGAGCATTCGTATCCTCGTCCATGTCAAGCTCCTCAAGAACATCAGGTTCGTCGTTGAGCTCAGTTTCTCCATTGAAGACCACAGCGTAACGCACCGACACATCCTCTGAGCTGTGCAACACAACAATCATGTTAGAAACTCTCATAACAGATATAGCTAACTGGAAATGGATGACTGGCAACCCAATAGTGGAGATTGTTGGTGATGTAATTGTTTATCCTGATATTTTTAGTATTTTAATGCTTCAATAAAAACAAATCATCACGAAAACTACACCCACCGATATCCCAGCACACGAATCTCTTTGAATCCTGGAACATCTGCAAACACACGACGCATCTAAAAGAAAAAAGATTAACATGAACATGATAATGAAAATAACCATTGTGTTGCAGCACACTTCTCAGTATAATTGAACCTAAAAGCATGGTAGAGAGGCAGAGGCGGTTATATTTAAAGATTTACTGTGCCTAAAATGCAAAAGAAAAAGACTTGTCAATACATGTTTTCTTTTACAGAATATCCAAAGTGGACAGGTATGCAGACACACCAGACACACACTAAGGTCCTAACAAGCAGAAAGTGAAGTGACCTGTATAAGTGTAATGGAGCTGATTAGAGGGATTGGGAACGGGTGTGTATTTGGGTGTGGAGCTCAGGTGATGGATAAAGGTGGACACACTGAAGACAACGAGGAGGAAGGGGGGGAAAGGCGCCAGGAAGCATTAGCGGCTGGCTTGCGGCATGTCAAAAGGGAAAGTAATCTTGATGTTAGTAGACAGCCATGATATCTTGATTTATCTATCCAGCAACAACATTTAAAATAATACATTTCCACCATGTTTGCAGGCTTGAAATTAAAGTTTTAAGAATGAACCTGAACCCAAATGTGTTTTATTTCTTTGATAATATTTAAAAAAAACACACACATCAAAACCGCCTTTCTGCAGTGGTTGCACTGTGTAATTCCAACTTCCAGGTCATTTAACACCAGTAGAAGAGCTGCATTTAGAGCCTCTTTCAATGCCTTCTTAGTCAGAGATAATCTATATGATTAGATCTTACTATTTCAGGCTTGTGGTCATTTAGAAGTCTTACCTAAAGACCTCTGGTTTGTGACCTTAAAGCTGTTAAATCAATCACGGTGAGTTTGACATTTAACAATACAAGGCCAGAGAAGCTGGCAATCACATTGAGTCCATTGTGAGGAATGTTGCATAATGAACACTGCAGTGAAAGAAGGGAAGAATAGTCACGGAGTCATTCAGATGGATTTGTTTGCTTTATTAAGAGGTTACAGGTGACCAAAAAGAAACCTGTGTGTGAAAGTTTGTAATTTAAACCTCAGTATATCTCACTTTTCCGGCAGAGTTTCCTCACCCTCAGTAACATCTTAAAAAGCTTCTTAAACACAGCTCTGCTAGGATGTGGGTTCCTGTGTTTGTATATAAGGCAAGGAAGAGACAGTTGATATTTACTTTGGGTCTGAACACTTGGCTCTTACCTTTTCTGTGAGCTCTTGTCTGATTTCACTGTACTCCACTGCCTGGGGGTCACTGAGCAGCTTGGTGAACGCCGGATCTGAGATGGTGACACTGAAATGGATAACATACTCCGCAAAGTTCTCTTTGATCATGTTGGGGTCTTCCTCGTTCTGGCAAAAAAAGAAAACGACTGTGGTTAGACAGTGTCAACTGATTTTGATAATTTTTTGATCGTTAAAACATTTGTGGGTTCACTCACGTTATCCTGAGTTGGTAGCACAATCATTGGGGGTGTCCAGGTGCCTGAGACCAAAAACAACTCATTATTTAATGGTGTTATGAAAATGTTGAGATAGCTTCTAAGATGATAAACATATTGAAATGCTTTCATTAAACATTGTGTGTTAGGGTTCAACTCACAATCAATTCCTGACTCTGTGGGTCCAGCAAAAACTCTGAAAATAAAAACGTTTGTTACAAATGCAGTTGAATACTTGCCGTATCAAATGTGAGAGTTATTCAAGAATCTTCAAGCTTAAAACCAATATTTATTTTTTGCCTAGTATCCCAAATGTATTTTTTCTAGCTAGGATAGCAAAAAGGTTTAGTTGATTTGACATTTTCATTGCCTCTCCTGAAATCACACTGGAAATAATGTACCACTTTGCAATGTTAAACAAATCAACTGTGAACTTATTTTGATTTAAAACTGTATTGAGTTCAGTCACACTTGTACATAGCAAATTTACATACCCTTCAACTTCAGCTTGCTCGGCTACCCTCTGGAAATAAGAAAGTTACCGGTTATTCACAATCACTCTGAATGCTGATTTAAAACTGCCTCACAGTTTGAACACATTTCGTGAGAGGAGGCTGGTCAGTGAAGATATTTTGGCTGTGTTGGTGCTGCACTCACGCGGGCCACCAGGTCCAGATGCTCCTGAGAGCTGCTGAAGTTCTGGGCCAGGTCGTCCATGCAGAGGTTTTCATGCTGGCAGGTGTAGAGCCAGGCTCTGTACTCCTCTGAGTTCGGCGATCGGTCCAAGAAGATCCGAAATGCTTCCCAAATTGCTTCCTGGCAAACTAAAGAGATGTCATGTCATTTTATGGATTTTTCTTTTTGACTCCTCTCAGAAAATATTGGAGCAAACACTGGAATAAGTGCAAATATGAGACACAATCTAATATCTTAGACAAAAAAAGATATTGTGATGACTTGAGATGGCATAACATTTATTTGCAACAAGGGCAGAAAGGATGAAAATGGAGCATGGAGATATCAAAGGACTACGGATAAATAGGATTTGTGATTGATGGCATGTCTGTATTTGGAGACTTTGCTTTGATATATAGATTATTGTTTCATCAGAAACATTTCACTGAGTTTCACATTCGACACAATGTTTTTGATAAATCACAATATATATTTAACATGATATAAATGGGACAGAACAAAAAGGCAGGAATGCCTGTTTCAGTAAATTTCAAACTGTATATTTAACTCTTCGTCTGTCCATGACATTTTTACTAATATTACAATCATGAGCACAGAGACCCCCTGGAGCTAAACTGTGTTTTATCTTCCTCTGTGGGGGAAACAACCTCCACATTGTCCAATATCGTGATGCCTGTGGGAAATGTATTCTCTGACAAACTAATTTCTGGAACGAAGCGATTACATCCAATACAGCAAATTAATCTGCCTCATTTTAAAATCCTACGCCATAGCAGCTGTTGTGGAACAGTTCGTATTACTTTTCCATTGTAACAAGAAAAGTGGCAATCTCTGCCGCTTAAATCATCTACAATTCATCTCACTTGGACAAAGCATATTTGCATATAACGTCATGATATCATGTGCTACAGTATGTGCATATCCATCCATTGATAAGATTTAGAGAATCATACATAATTTGAGGGGATTAGATTCAGTTTCACCGAAACATCAAAAGGGAACGCTGATTAAGTGCTTTATTCTCATTTGACAGTCAATGTTTTATGAAAGGCTTATTGAATTCATATTGGATGTCCTAATTATGCATCAAGTTACATTTACTTCATTAATAAACCCTAACTTAGAATAAGCTTACACAAGTTTACCTCTGAGTTTGTAATAGGCCCGATGGCTGCCGATGACTGCTTTCATCGTCTCCTGCGGACACACTTTGACCCCCGTGGTGAGGAGCGGCGACCTCTTATTCCGATGTCCATTCTGCTCCGCTCTGACATTTGTGGTGTGTCTGATCGGTCTGGAGGATTCTAGAAAGTATCGGTACTTCACATCCCTGAGTCCCGAAAAACCGTGGTCATGTATTTCTACAAGAGAAAATGTAAGTTTAGAAAATAAATATAATCTTTACAGTATTCAGCTTGAGTTATCATACGACGTAAGTAACATAGGTAGCTGGAATTAAGTTGAGGTCAAAGAAAACAATTTCTGCTAAAAGGTTAGCAATGATTGAGATTCAGACCTAAACATTTCAGATGTGTGTATCTGGACTAGGGCTGCTCGATTATGGCAGAAATCATAATCTCGATTATTTGGGTCAATAATTGATATCACGATTATTAAAAACGATTATCCAACAGTACGTTTTTAACAGTTGATTACCTTGAACTTTAAGTACGGTATAACTCAACTGAAAAACCAATAAAAAAAAAAAATTAATTTAAAAATTAATTAAAAAAAAGTAATAATAATAATACAAAAATAATCGTTTTATTTCGATTACGTTGTTTTCGTAATCGTTGCAAGCCATAATCGTAATTGCGATTAAAATACGATTAATTGAGCAGCCCTACACTGGACTGTAATTTGTATTCATGTACCTTTGTTATTCATGTTTTATTACCTTTGCTTTTAAATGAGTGTTTTTCAAAAGCCATTTTATAATATGTTTCTTAATGCTCTTAATGTCTTTAATTTGTGTAAAGCATTATATAATTAAACTTGCCTTGCCTTGATCATGCTAGTGACATTTCTTGTTGGTTTTTGTGTTAATTATTATAATTAACAACTGACAGAGGGCAGCACCTAACCAAAGCACTTATTTGTTTCTTTTACAGTTGCAAATGTCAAAACATAACAATTGAATTACTTGTTATGTCAATAATGTAAATTTAAAAAATGGTGCTCATCTTATTCATTAAGTTGTTATAGATTAACCATGACATGTTACTTGTTACGTTTGTCTGACAGTACAATGACAAACCTATAACACAGATAAGACAAACAATTGGAAGGAGAAGTGGGTAACAGTGTCATGCATGCGAGTCTATTTGACATGTAGTGTGACTATAGGAACACATGCATCCCCATGATCTTACATCAGCACATGCTTTGGTCCCACATATATACATGTACAACTTCCTTTATCTTTAAGGGTATATTAGATTTTTACATGTACACTTTAGACAAGTTGTCTTTTTCTTCCTATAGATAAAGGCAAACTCAATATTATTCACGGCAACACAATGCTAAACATGTAATATCCCAAACAAAGGGTTATTTTAAAAAAGAAGGGGAAAAAAGTATGATAAACCACACAGGGAGTAACACGCATCATGTGAAAACAGCAACACACGCGGTTATGTCACAGTGGTGTCATCAAGGGTTATCTCATAATTGGCTTGGGGCTTTGAATATTGACAGGAAGCTTATCCTGTGCACGTGGTTATGTAGACGTTGGTGTAAAACGAAACACATCATCAAGTATCATTTTTTAAAGATGCTGTGATTTTATACAGTGACCCATGGCTACACCGGTTCAGTTTAGAACTGATGCGGCCTCTTTTGCATACATTGTTATGGATGTGTAAAGTTAAATCACTGAAGCTCCCTTTAAATATCTAGCTTTAAGTGTGTAACCAGGAACCAGGCATTGAACGCCAACAACCACAGAGTAGAATTAAACTTGACAGACACCTAATCCAACACGTTCATACTTAATAGCATCTGTCCAGTCCTCTTACTGGAAGTTAACTTCTGCTTGCTCTGCCTATAATTAGCATCTGGCTTTGCAGTGAAAGGTATATTATACACAGAGGATCCTAGAGTTTATTTTGTATACAATGGAGTGAAGACAAATCCTCTGCACGTGGGATTTTGCAACAACTAAAAAAGGTGCAATGAGTTACTTGAGGTTTCAAATTCACTGTTGTGTAAAAATGTCTGGGGCCTTTGCGACTGGAAGGGTTGTCATTTTGAATGATTGGAAAGTGCAGAGATGTGTAGAGAAAGTGAATGAGTAACATTCTTCTCCCTCAGGATCAGTGGTTGAGATGCCCTTGAGCAACTTGACCCACGTTGCACTACTGAAGCTGCTCAGTGGCTCACAGTGTCATTGGGTGTTTCTCAATCTCGAGTAAAGCTGCTGCAGAGCCACTATTTCAAGCATACTACGTCATCGAGTGCCGCCGAAGTACTGTTCCAATCTCCAGCACACTTGGAAATCTACCGAGCCCGGCGTACTTCGTTAGGAGAAATTTTGAGGCTGCACATGTGTAGACTCCGCGGTCTTAAAATCCCCACAATGCTTTGCGCACGGACCAATTTCCCCAAATCTGTGGCGGAAAATGTAAGGCGGGGCCTCTCATATGACGCACACCTGCACACTTGCTAGCCTGTTCCATTCTTCGTTTTCCGAATGCCAGGAAGGATTCTTGCCTCACTTCTGAAGCAAGATGCTCGGCAGACATGTTCTACCAAGCAAGCGTACTACTCGCGATTGAGAAACACCCAGTGTGAGGTTGTGCTGGGCAGCGTCCAGGTGTGAATTTGCAGAAACTCATGCATGAGGATTACAGTTCAAGCAGGATGTGCGTGCACGGTGAATCTCAAAGAGATTAAAATTAGTTACAGGTGGATACCCCGCAAAAACATCACATCTTACCGAAATATGTCCATGTATTATAATATTGGGAACCGGGATGTAACCCTCTTTAATGGTCACACATGCAGAGCACACAGCACACACAGTTAAATGTGTTCTCTGCTTTTAACCCATCCTAGTACCAGGAGTCTAGTACTAGGAGCAGTGGGCAGCTATTGTACAGCGCCCGGGGAGCAATGTGAGTGGGGGGGGGGGTTGTCCGGTGCCTTGCTCAAGGGCACCACGGCAGGGCCCAGGAGGTGAACTCCAAGTAGCAGTCCACACTCCATATTTAGGTCTGGTTGGGGACTTGAACCAACGACCCTACGGCTCCCAGTCCAAGCCCCTACTGACTGAGCCACTGCCGGATTATATTACTAAAATGCTGCACACATGAGGAGGAGTGCCCTCATTTTCTGATCATCTTAGTAAAAAAGAAAACTACCATGACCGCCCTGACAGTAAGGTCATTCCACTCCATTACACAAGCCAGTGTGCCACTCAACCATCACTAACAGTCACCCCTTGGTAAAATCTATTTTAAAAGAATGGTACTCATTGGGATGCCAGGTGGCAGACCTTGACTGACTTTATAAGACAATAAGCCTACATTTATTCACCCCATCTCGCAGACTTGAGGTCATTTGACCTAATTAATTGACTATTTCCTCTAAATAAGGGGACAATAAAGGTAACTGAGAAAAGAGAGCTTTTAGCTGGAGATGGAACATTGTTGTGAAGATAAACAAGATAAGGGGTACATGCAGGCTCCAACGTTGTGTATATTTTAGACAAGTGAATAAGCAAGCTAATGCAAAGAAACACACGGGCCCTGCCACCCTTAATACAAATGTGTATCGTATTAGATAAGAAAAAATTGTGAACTTGGATTTGAAACAGAGTGAATGCAAAGAAAATATAATGAAATAAGAGTGGAATGGAGTTCTTATTTGAATAACATGCATGTATAGTGATAATACAATTACAGTAATAATGAGCTTAGTTGATCAATGCTTGATTAGTTGATAGTCGGTGAACTGTAAAAGGATGACAAAGACGCTGGTTGAGGGAGGGGAGATTTTTTAGGTACATCTTTGTAAACTACTGTTTATACATTTGTTTGTTGAATCGCGATCCAATTTTGGCATAAATGCAAAATGCAGCATTCATATTCTGTTAGCTATGTGGTAGGCGAGTTGTAAACAATCTCAGCATGCACTGAGGCAATACATACATTCTTGACCTTAAATGTTAGGTGTGTTCTTGCATGGTCACTGGTGTGATTTTGTTCTAAATTGTTTCCACACTTTCATTACTGTTGGTGGCTGATGTGTGAGGTTCCCCACATGGACGAATAAACACATTCATTCAAAGTGATAACCAGAAGCTAATTCAATGGCATATGATCTGGCCTAATTGGTCTTTTAAAGTTATAATCTTGGAGTAGGTTTTAGACCTTTTTCTCTCTCATTTCTTAAGGTTAAATTAGTTTTGGTTATTTTTCTTTCCAATTTCTTTTTTTTAAATGTCTATTTTATTTGAACGTGTTAGGCAAGATTTCAATGGTGAATTTACAATAACCTGGACGTTATTATCTAAATAAAAACACCGTCATTATGAAATAAGAATATGGGTCAATTGGGTATGAAAAATTGTAAAAATATTTAATTCAAAATAAACGATCTGGGTCATGTTAGAGCTATCTGTCAAAAGGTCTGCTCTTATACAGGTTTGCTCATAAGGACTTGGTCTAAGACTCATGTCAAATTGTAGGCATTTAGGTCTGGATGTGTACTGCTGTGCGACTACTATTTAGTAATATTTGGTAATAAGCATTAAAATAAGAATTGTGAAAAATTGGTAGAGCTAGAAAGGAAAACAAATAAGTGGTGAATCACTGGCCGTTTCTCAATCGCGAGGATGCTTGCTTGGTAGCACATGTCTTCCGAGTCACGTCCTTCAGAAGCTAGGCAAGAATCCTTCCTGGCATTCGGAAAACGAAGAGTGGAACAGGCTAGCAAGTGTGCAGGTGTGCGTCATATGAGAGGCCCCGCCTTACATTTTCCGCCACAGATTTGGGGAAATTGGTTCGTGCGCAAAGCATTGTGGGGATTTGAAGGACGCAAAGTCTTCCCATGTGCAGCCTCGAAATTACCCCCAAACCAAGGACGCGGCCTCGGTGGAATTCCAAGTATGCTGGAGATTGGAACAGTCCTTCGGCGGCACACGATGATGTAGTATCCTTGAAATATTGGCTTGGAAGCAAGTTTCCTCGCGATTGAGAAACGGCCACTGTTTTGCACGAAAACAAATACCTCTA